GTCATCATGTTCTCCTTTTTAAGATCACCACCTCAGGTATTACTCAGTTCTGAAAACTGGTTTTTGGAGCCATAAGTTGCATGCCTCTCCTTATTACGTTTGGAAGAACATCATTACAAGTAATACAAGCATATAAATACCAGACTATTCCCCCATACACCTAGGTGATAAAACGGTACTGGGCTTACAATAGTAAGAAGGAAATGCCCCCCGTGATACATTGTGCTGCTTTACAAACTTAAGCTAATTTCAGTATACATCTTATAATGATCCAAAGAATTGATAGTAAATCTTACCTTCTGAACAAAAACAATTTTGGACAGCCTCTCCACCTGTGAATATGCACTTACTCCAGATAAATTAAAACATGTAGCACCCTGATTCATGACAAAAAGAAAAATTATTGGTAATTAGCATATACAATGGCAACAAATTGCATATTCAGTGGCAACAAAAGTTTAGGAATGAAAGAATATACAGACAGGCTTTTGCTCTTGTTTGAAAAAGTAACCAGAAAGTACATGATTTTTACACACCTCAACCAAAACATCAGAATGTCTAGCAAGTTGACCACGAATCAGAGCCTGAAACTTAACAATCCCCTGGACACAGAATAATGTGGATACAGCTTGTCTTCTAACCAAGTGACCACGAATAAGAGCTTGCAGCCTCACGATTCCCTTAAGAGTCCGATATGCACGTCGAGCCTTCAAAGTTTAAAGATAATTAGTTTCCATCAGTAGTTGGAAGGTTGGTCAAAAAATATTCTCCACATACTAAATATCATCTCACAGAAGTACAACAGAAAATGTTTGGAAATATTATTAAGCATAATTTTTAAGGAAAACTAATAAAAATGGCTTGAAAACTTTAAGATTTAACGATAAGGATAAAATAAAGAATAAAATGAATACTAAAATGATTGACTTTTTAGTGTAAATACTAAAAATGTGGTTTTTTGTTAAAGTTAACAGTACTGGAAGCTTTTCGTTAAAGTCCCCCTTTTTTAAGCAAAAGCAGAACATCAAATGGGGAGGAAAGTACCACATAGCCCCTGTAAGCACTTTGCGCCTTTGTGGCAGCTTGCTCTTGCTTGATTGTCTCAAGATCTTCCTGAGAAGTCGAACTCAAGGCTTGGCCCTCTTCCTTTGCAGATGACATTATAACCCCATCATTGGGCAATTTTTCAGCTACTGTGATCTCAGAACCCACTTCATTACTAGCAACAGCCTCAATCAGCGGTGGTGAAACCAATGTTGGTGATATCAGCGGAGCACTCACAGTTAACTCTGAAGAGAACAGTGACTCCCCTTTATTTGTAGATTTCTGTGAAACCAGAACAACATCATAAGTTACAAATTAGAACTTAACGACCAACAAGATGAAGGAAAATTAATAGATAGGTTCCAATGTGCATCTTAGTAATACCTCCCTTCCTTTGGAAAAAGTAGACTTGGATGATTTCTTCCCAAGAAGCAAGTTCTTGATCCATTTCCCAGGGGTTTTTCCCATTGCGAAAAGTTAAATGCAGCCCGCGATGCTTAATACGCAGAAAACTGCACGTACATACAAAAATTGAGCCATGACAGTACCAAGTTACCAGCTGAACTTGTTGAAATTAACCAAAAACCTAATCGCAAAACCCATTTGAAAACAGAAAAAGTAGGGTTCTAAAACAAAATGGTCTGCTCAGCTGAAATATTATTTGCCAACTAAAATTCAAACCCTAAAATTTAAATTAAAAAAAATGGAAAAAAAAGTCAAATATATACAGAAATGCTGAAACAGAAATAACGAAAATAATCGAACAAAAAATTTATATGCGATAAATTGTAAGGTTGGAGAAGAAAATAAGAACAGGAAAATTTGGGGGAATAAAATTCAAAGCTAGTGAAAGATCGAGGCCGTTCGATCCAAGCATTTCCAGGAAATGCAGCAGTGCTGAGAAACCCTAAAGCCTCCCGGCAGTACGGAACAAAGAAAAATGGGAGACGAAAATAAGAGGAGTACCATAAACTGGAGAAGGAGAAGACGAAGAGGGAGTAGTACGACGGCGTTTTGGGTGTGCTGCTCCACCGGCGACTGTGGGGTGAGCTCCCTCTGCTTTTTCACTGTTAATTTCACCTGAAGAACCTGCAAAATTAGAAACCGAAATTTAATAAGGTGACGACAAGAAATGGAAAAATATTCCCGAAACGAGGAGGGAACGACGACGTTTGTGGTGGGTTCGCTTTGTTTTTATGGAACGTGGACCCCAGCCCAATTTTGGGTTGACCCAAAGAAGGCAAGCAGTTGGCCCAAATTTAGAGCCCAAGTTTTTGTTAAGATTGTGTTGCTGTGATTGGATTTTGCAATTGGATTTTGGATTTCTGTTTGTTTTGTTTAACAATAGTATTTAATGATTGTTTGAAGGTACATCAATCTTTTAGTATGATTGATTGAAAGAGGGAATAGTTGTTGCTGTTAAAGTTTCAGAGAGACGGTAGCGGTTCATTATTAATAACATTGGTATTGTCCCTACTGACTCACTCTTACAATCAATGGGTGTAGAATTTGTATGCAAAAGGCCTCGATTCAATTAGGAGTGGAAGCATGTGATATGAGTTGTGATATATTTCATGAGATGGACGATGTAATACTTTTTACTTTGTTCTACACTTGTTCATGTACTCTCACAAGGACCAAACATACTGAATTTGAGTACCATTGTACTTGATGTAGGTATAATTTTCAATACACTTGAGCATCTTTTATGAGAGTGGTCTAGCAAACTGACTACGATTATATTGGACAAATTGACCTAAAAAGAATGTTAGCGTCGATGCATGGGCGCATGTACTGTTCTAAAAATTCCCGTCTAGCCCCCCACTTGCCTAGGTTCTAGACGGCTGGCCACCGTCCCTAATAATGCCTAGGCGTTTGATAATCAAGAAAATGCGTCTAGACCTGCTGAGGCATCCGCCTAGCCTGCCCAGACCCGCCCAGGTTGCAACTCACCTAGACATAAAATAGATAACTTTCATTTTGCATTTTATTTTATTTTTTCAATAAATTGTAAGAGACTTGTGTATATGGAATATTTTGATGGAATCTTTCACCCAAAAAAATCGAATAGAATAGCACCAAGTTGTTAAACATTAACACAAAAATACTCATTAAATTCAAGGATGTAGCTTAACTTTCTTCCATCAAAATATTGAAGAGATGCGAACGAGTCGTCGTTTTGCAAATTGCAAGCAAAGCTTTCAGCTTTGCTTCCAATAAAAAGAACAAAACACGTAAAACACAGATAAAAACAAGTAGTGTCAGGCTGGCCGCATCCCACTGAATTATTAATCACTTGTAAACAACTGAAAAGAAAATGGATTAGGTGGAACTAATACCTAAATTAATCCTAAATTAATCAAAGCATCCAATTCTTTCTCCCCCTGTGTCTTACTCGCACGCACACACCGACACAGCCTCGCACAAAACGACATATAATGCAATGCAATCCTTATTTTCCATGGATTGAGATCTTCTTACTTCAGAGTTCACGAGTTGAGCAATTCAGACCATTTAAGAGAAAGATTGATGTCCAAGTGTTAGAGAGAGAAATCGTGTACGAAGTAGGACAATGAAATTAACTAATAAGAACCGCAAAATTTAAATTAAACGATTTAGATTGCTCGATCAGCAGATTCCGGAGCGTGAGATACGTCAATCCATTTTCCATTGACATGGACGCAGAGGACGTTCTGTCATGTAAATCATAAATGCACAGATATTTTTAGCAAGTAATTTGCATCGACAGAAAGTGACCTGAGGTAGTCATTTTCATGCACTGAATTCATTTCCCTGATTGAGAACTAGATTGCCATGGTACTCACCGACTCCGTTTGTAAGTTAAAATTTCATATTCAAGTCATATTTCATATATATTTGAAAAAAAAAAAGAAAAAAAAAACTAATATCTCATATTTGGATTTTAAGGCAAAGTAAAATATAAATTTGAGTTTCGATATCAATTTTGAGGAGAGATTTTTTAGTGTGTCAGGAATACGTCGAGTACATCAAGTTTAATAATCCAAGTGGTTTAGATACTTGAAAAAAAAATTTGCAACCACTTGTATTATGACACTTTGTGTGTCAGGGCATGTTCATGACACACTGAAAACTTTCTCGAGGTTTGAGTCCAAGGTAGAGCCCATGTCAAATAAAAAAATATTGTTCAACCAAGAAAAATGAGATTTGAGTTTTGAGTTCAATCATCTCCGGTGCACATAAACCAAATTGTTAAAACTCAAATATGATTTTTGAGTTCAATATTTTCTCCTCCAATGAAAAGACTAAAATCTTAAAACTCAAAATAAGTTTTAAGATTTGAGTCTTTGCATTAGAAAAAAACCAAAATATATAAATCCACCTACTTTTTGAAACCCAAATATGAGAACATGAGTTTAAAATATGAGTATTTGCATTAGAGATGCTCTTATTCATAATTCTCATAACGAATATCATACACTTCACTTTAAAAAAAACAAAAATACACCCTAAAAATACCGTATAAGCGTTTTTAGAATAAATACGCGTCATACATATTTAGATTTTAATAAAAAAATATTCAATGTGTTATTTGAAATTGTAATTTTGCGCAGCCGATTCTACTGTTCGTCGTAAACTGTTGAACATGTTTGTTGATGAATAATTTTACGTGAAAACAAAAAGGCCTCGTGATTTCATCATGGGCAGTGGAAAAAGGCTGGCTTTTCACGAACCCCACGTGGCCACGGCGCCCTAGTAGGTTTGCCATAATGTACGTGGTCAACATCCAGCCTTTGAATCAGAGCCATGTTGACCTAAGTCGTATCCCATTTCCGAACAAAACAGTGCAGAATGGTAGAAAGTGGAAACTCACAAACTTTGAAAACCCAGTTTGCTGCTTAAAATAACAGTTCGCGTACCGCAGGATCGGGATCGGCCATGTTGAAGTGTCCACGCCATCTTGTTACTAGATCGGTGTTTCAAGTCAATAACGTACTAGTTCAGAGAATGTTATTTTAAATGAAGATCAACTGGCATGGAACAGATTCACGGTCACATAGCATTCCGTTCAATTATAATAAGTGACATTGTATTATTTAACTGGGACGCGATATTTAAAAACCATTTTGTGTAAGTCCTCATGCAGATGGGGTTGGCTTGCATTGTCTCTTTGTTCTTGAACTTAGACCGAATCCACTAGTACTGTCTGGTTCTTGCTTTGCTCCGCTTCAAATTCTGCAATTTCAGTATTTTTCAGATCTGTCATTCTCTCCGCATTAGGTTTCCCAGCTCCCCTCCTTTCTGTTGAAATTCTAGTCCTTTTCCTTCATGATTTCATCACCCTCACCAATTTTTCTCTCTTTCTTTCAACTGTAAATTTTTTTCGTGCCACCTTACCTCACCAAACCAAGACCTTTCTGCTCCTTACCTGCTTCCTTCTTATTTTACCCACTCCTCATCATATTTCTGGAACGTTCTGCAGTATACCGAATTTAACGTTGAATGTGCGCTGAAGAATCTAACAGAGTTTAACGTAAACGGATGAACCTGAGCCACAGGGCAACTTGGACCAATTAGCTTTTCTGGGTTAATCTCGTTTTCTTCAAAAAAAATGAACAACTTCTGGGTTCCTATCTGTTTCTTGCTTCTCACTCTATCCATCTCCTCTCAAATCTCAACCGCTCAGCTCAGTCCAAGCGAAGTTCGAATCCTCTTCCAAGTGCAAAAGCTTCTCGAATACCCCGAACCTCTTCAGGGATGGACGAACTGGACCAACTTCTGCTTCCTCCCTTCCTCCCCCTCCCTCCGGATCGTCTGCACAAACAACCGCCTAACCGAATTAACCGTCACCGGAAACAAAACCAAAACCTCCCCTCCAAACCAGAGCACTCTGTCCAAATCCTTCTCCATCGACTCCTTGTTCACCGTCCTCACCAAGCTCTCCAACCTCAAATCCCTCTCATTGGTCTCCCTCGGCCTGTGGGGCCCGCTGCCGACGAAGATCAACCGGTTCTGGTCGCTCGAAACGCTCAACCTCAGCTCGAACTCCATCTCCGGCGAGATACCGGCCTCCCTCAGCTCGATCAAGAATCTCACGAGCATAAATTTGGCTGACAATCTCCTCAACGGAAGCGTTCCGGATCTCAGACCGCTAACATTTCTCCAAGAAATCAACCTCGGAAACAACACACTGGGTCCTGGATTTCCCTCTTTGGGAGACAGTATTCAAATCATCGTTCTCAGAAACAACTCCATGAGATCTGATATTCCGACAGGACTGAAGAACTTCGATCAGCTGACGAAACTGGACATCTCCTACAACAAATTTGTGGGTCACATCCCATCTTTCCTCCTCTCGCTGCCCTCCATCCAGTTCATCAATCTTTCCAAGAACGAGCTCAGTGGGGCCCTGTCATCCAACGTAACCTGCGGTAAAAACCTCATAGTTTTGGACATTTCCCAGAATTTTTTGATTGGGAAGCTGCCCACCTGCGTCGGATCGAACTCGAAGGCTTCGAACAGGACGGTTCTGGATTCGTGGAACTGTTTGTCGGGTGGGAACTCGAAGTACCAGCATCCGTATTCCTTTTGCCACAAGGAAGCTCTGGCCGTGAAGCCGCCGGCTGAAACTGCAGGGAAGAAGGAGGAGAACAGGACAAAGCTAGGTGTGTTGCTGGGTGTGATTGGTGGCATTGTGGGTGTTGCTGGTGTTGTTGGGTTGCTGGTTTTGGTCATCATCAAAAGGGCAGGGAAGAGGGAGGCAGAGGATCGATTTGACAGATCCATGGCGGAGAAAACCTCTGTCAGAAGCTCCCCAAAGCATAATATTAATGCAAGTAAGTGGCTGAAAAGTGAAAAAAAAGTCTCAAACTTTATTGGCTGAAATTAAATCAAAAGGTGGTTAATATTGGGATTTGGGTTTTTCAGGGCGTGTGCCGCAGATGATGAGGCTGCCGACACTCGGGCTCCCTCCGTATCGTGGTTTCACACTCGAAGAAATCGATGATGCAACGAACAATTTCGACGCTGCAAATTTGATGGCGGAAGGATCCCATGGACAGGTATTGCATTGAATTTGAACTGTACAATGTGGATGCACGTCGTTTATTTGATCAAAGAACGAACATTCTGCGCAGAGAATTTATGTTGAGACCTGATATTATTTTGTGCAACATTTACAGGTGTACAAAGGTTGGCTGAGAGATGGTTCACAGGTGCAAGTGAGATGCGTGAAGTTAAAGCAGAAGCAGTTGCCACAAAACTTGAACCAGAGCATGGAAGGCTTGTCAAAGATGAGGCATAGGCATTTGGTCAGCCTTATAGGACACTGCACTGTCACGTACCAGGACCATCCCACCGCATCTAGCACGGTATTTATTGTTCTCGAGAACATCACCAACGGGTCGTTGATAGACCATCTCACTGGTAAAGAACAAACGTCCTGCACAGAGAAGAAGTGTAATTTGATTAACTAAAACAGTTCTAACATGCACACTTTGGTTTTGTAGATTGGAGAAAGAAGGAATGGATGAAATGGCCGCAGAGAATGGCGGTTACTATTGGCATTGCGAGGGGAGTCCAGTTCTTGCACACCGGCGTGGCTCCCGGGATCTTTGGAAACAATTTGAAGATAGAGAACATATTGTTGGATGAGAGTGTTTCTGCCAAAATCAGCAACTACAATCTTCCGTTGCCATTTCAGGTGGGAATTTGCATAAAGTAAAGTAAACGTGCTTGAAAGCTTTGAAAAGAAGGTGAAGAGTTTGTAGCCATTGACAATTGCATTCTCTAATTTGCAGGTTGGTTCAGAGGATCCTCGTAATGGACAAGGGATTAGCAGTAATTCCCATCTGAACAGGTATTTACTTTTCTTCATCTTCCTCTTGTTTTCTGCTGCAGCATCTGAATTATCTTATGAGAGTGGTAAAAATGTAGCGCCGAAGCCGAGAAGGAGGATATTTACCAGCTGGGCATTATTCTGCTTCAAGTTCTTACTGGTAGATTGATCAAATCAGCTACTGAATTGGATGAGCTTAGGGTTCAGGTAAATCTTATAGAAAAGAGTTCTTCGCAAATAAGCCCCCTCGAAACTTCATTTCGTAGTATAAATCACTTAATTTTTTTCTTTTTCTTTTTCTTTCTAATTAACAGTTAGAAAAGGGCTTGATGGAAGGACCATCGACACTACGAGAAATCGTAGATTCGTCGATGATGGGAAGTTTTGCGTACCAGTCGCTGAAGACAGCAGTTGAAATCACAGTCAATTGTTTGAGCAGAGATCCAAGCAAGCGTCCTTCGATAGATAATGTTCTTTGGAATTTGCAGTATTCGATTCAAGTTCAAGAGGGATGGACTAGCAGTGGAAACCTCAGCGCACAAATGTAGTAGTAGTTCTTTCGTTGGATTTACAGTTCTTCTTGTTACTTGTTAGGCAAGGTATATGAATAAATGAAAGGCTATACAATTCAACTAGTGTTTCCTGTTTTGCTTAGCAAAAGTATTAAGCTTTTGATTTTATTTTATTTTATTTTATTTTGGTTGACAAATGTAGATTAAATGTTATATTAGCCACCAACGAAGTTCAAACTCACGTTGTTATACAAAGACTCAGACTCAACTGTAACAACCATGAATTGATGGTACAAAACATCCCACGTGTTGGTCACGTGACAGATGATGTGACAGGCTAATGCATACAACAGTTGCATATCAGTTTCGTTCGGTCCTTGCCCCAAACTACACAATATCATAAAACAAAATTAAATGCAGTTTTAGATGGAAGAAAACTGCAGGGCAGGTCGTCCGACATATTAGATATACGAGGCCTAGATATACGAGGCCTAAACGCCGCTGAATAAATAGACCAAGCAAAATATTTCACAATACCCGAAAGAATATGCTATCCACACATTCTATTTTACTTCTCATCCACCCCTTGATAATTTTTGTCCGTTGATCTTCTTCAATTCATCCGATCCGACGGCCGAAAATTAAAAAGGTGTGTGAGAAGTAAAATGGGATGTGTGGATATCACACCCCAACCCGAAAGTCGAGTCCTTCACAACACAAATGGTTTTCAAGTTTCAAAGTTATTTAAACAGAGGTTGATTCAACTGATTTTCGAAAGCTCTCCATCAGGAGTTAGCTTGTTAATCGGCAGTCCAACTCTGCTCAACAATCTCGCGGACTCTCCTATTGTATTCACGCTTGTTCTCGCTAAACATCCGTGCAGCTTCTGAATTTGCTGGAGAGTTTGGGTTTGGATCACACAGCAAAGACTGCAATAAGAAGAAAAAAAATATCTTAGGGCCCAAGACATGACATGACATCTGCACAAAAACGCCATTAAAACAGAGGGAACTCTATCTCCACAATCTTATATTTCATTTATCTATGTTGATTAAAAGCAATATATCCACATAAACATATGAATGAGTGTACGCGAGTGTGTGGATGTATGAGAGAAAGTAAAGTTCGATAGTTGTGTCGTTTAAAAGAGTATAGTCAGATTGTTTTGTGTTAAAAACAATTCCCATGCATATAGTTATGGTAATAACAATGGGGGAGGTGCAATAAGAAGTGGTAACCAAGATTTGAGAGAGGTGCAATAAGAAGCGCCTGCTTATCTACATGGTGGTTTTAGGATTCTTGTTCTTTGAAATGAGAGACGAAACAGACATGGACACACATGAAAATTTCTTCAAGAGAAGTAATAGCCATAATTAGGTGTGAAGGTGCAGCTGAACGCGTTGGGAAGATGGTTGAAATAAAACAGAGAAGACGGAATATTTTCTGAGGAAGAACTCAATCAGTACAACCAATGCTTCCTTGCTCTTGTAGTGCTCAAATAGATGCTACAAAATTTAGTTTCGGATTGGAATAAACAAGATGGAGCAATTAGATTTACAAAGATCAAAATAGTGCAACGTAAAAGACAGCAACTTATCCTTTCATATATGGTGTCTGGCCACTTACAGACATAGCCCATGACATACTCAAACAATAGTCTCAATAAATCAAAGCACTAGAAGTAACCAAGCAATGAATAGAACATAGTCAAATACCTGAATAGAGGTAAGTATAGCTGCTACATCATAGATAGGGCTCCACTGATTCTGTAGGATGTCCAAACAAATGCTTCCATCCGCATAAACTGAAAAGGGGCAAAACAAACAGAACTTAAGACTTGAAACAGCAGAAATATATCCAATTAATTGCATTCCGGTTAACTTGTTAAAATATGTATATTTGCAAATATGAGTGAACAACCAAAGCAACAAGCTGTGAGGGTGAAAACGATCAGTTATTCAATCTCAATTAACAAATGTTTGCAAACATAAAAACAAATTCCAAATAATTCCATTTCCTCAGATCCTATTTCACCCATGAGAAGCTAGTTTCTAAGTAAATGGGTGTACAATGATTAAAAAGAAATGATGAAAGACATTGTTTTTCCCAAAAAAGGTAATGACAGGATATGCCGCACAAGAAGACTAAATCTTGATAAAAGCACAATACCAGAGAAGAAACTGTACCATGATTACATATGCACAAACCCAGATATTCCTTATAGGGATTAGGTGGGTTCTCATTCACAAAATCCAAGAGGAAAACTGCGATAATAGACACCTCCAAGCACAGTAAACTCCTCTACTAATTTAAGAACCATTGAAAATAACAATTTTTGCAGTTTGTATGTGCATACAAATGTACTAACTCAAGTAAAAACGTAAAATGTGCATGGATGTATGTATGTGCAGTTTCTGTTTGAACTTACTATTTGGATGAAACATTCGAGAAACAAAACGCACTGTTGGTGGCTTATTTGGATAGTCCTCTGTGAATTGGAGTGTCAACTTAAACGTACCTGGGAAACACAAAAATATAATTAAAGATGTAGCTTAAAAGTTCCAAATGGAAGATGAGAAATCCAATTGCAACATGATATGAGTTCTTCTTGGTTTTTACCTCCATCCCATGGGGTGTCATCAGGCCTGCAGTTCAAAAAATGAAGTGCATAAATAAAATTGTACGGGATCTCAAGAAAAACAATCTAAATAAACTGAAATATGCAACAAACCACAATCTCCATCCAAGACGTACCCAAATATAACAGCATTCCAAAGCATAATATTGTTGTCTTGCGGAGCACCACTTATACCCGCAGGGGGATCCTGCTGCAACCTCTTGAAATCCCTCATCAGTCTCTTCCTTGCAGGAGTCGACATCCTCACCGCCTATACATTTGGCCAGCCAAAAAATAACACTCAGTCCCAGTCAAATCCTTTTCCAAACATTTGTGTGCCCATATAAACACACGCAGGCATCATTGAAAGCAAGATATCAATTCATAACTTGCATCAACGAAGAATTGCGGAAAGTGCCAACCAAGCAACATGTGTAGCCATTCGAGCAACATAACTGAGGTTAAACACAACTTACCTAAAGATTAAACCTATAAATGAACACAAATTCAAAGACTTGAATCCAAAAAGCTCGAGTAACCTCAAAAATCCTAAACCAAATATATATTTACAAAATATATTTGATTCCTAGACCTAATTGACTGAATTTTGATGCAGCTGAGCTCAAATAAAGTCTAAATCCAACATAACTGGATCAAATTGCACAGAAAATCTTAGTCAACCGGTTGCTACCGTACAAGTTCGACCTATCAACAAATATAAAAACCCCAAACATGCATGATCAAAATCCGAGATCCATATCCCAATCATCTAATTGCATCAATCTAAAATTATTTACGATAAAAAAAGAAAGCAAACAAAAATGTAGGGTTTATTTTCTTGTAGTACAAATTACAATTAAGAAATTAGATCTTCCACGAAATCAAATTTCAAACGGACCACAAAATCGGAGAAAATTTCCATTACTGCATCTGTTATACGAAAAGAGGAAAAAAAATAAACCCAGAAATTAAGAAAAACCTGTTAGCCGACGGCGAGAGAATTTGATTCTCGGAGACAGATGTCCAGAGCCGCGGGAACGGAAAGGAAGGTTTGGCAGCTCAGGAACTTTCTCGCGAAACAAACAGATGGACGTGAAGATTGAGAAACGGTGGCAGAGGAGGATTTCCGCGGTGGCCGGGGGATGGAGGGAGGAGAGAGAGAGAGAGAAGAGGAGAGAGCGCTTTTAGGTTAAAAGTATTTTAAGTTGGGAATTTGGTTTTATATTTACAGGCAAAAAATTCTTCTTCTGTACTGGTGCTCTTTGCCAACTAGCAAGATGCATCATGACAATGGGGTGTCATCACCAATCGTCATATCAACTTCATGTACAGTGTTGGAGGGGTTTTAAGGAAAGGACTCTCTTCGGATCCCTTCCACCCAATCAATCAATTCGAATATTTGAAATTTGATTCAACGGCTAAAAATATGAGGATCCTTTAAAAGTTATGATAACTTTAATCGGTGGATCAAATTTCAAATGTCCGGATTGATTGATTTTGTGGATTTGGTCCGGATTTTTATATGTGTTCAAGTACGATTTGGTACAGTAAGTGTTATAATATAATTATTTGGATGCGTAAAAAAAACTCCAACTACTTGTATCATGACACTTGTGTATTGGACTGTGTTAACGATAACCAAACAAGCTGGACTTTTGGAGTATATTTGTGACCCTGTTGAATGTTGCTTTGGCAGGAGAAAGACATTGTATTCTAGATGTTGTTGATGAACTCGCACCTGAATTATGTATTTGACATAGGCGTTGTGACGACTACGAATGCATTTTCATTCATCAAACTTTCATAATTGACTACTTAGTACTAACTTTTTACATTTATTGTCATGATGTCAACATATTAGACTAACAGCTAGTTGGTATATTATGTAACGAATTTTAAGCATTGGGCCTAGAATTGTGACTCAATTGGAGCTTTATTCCTTTGGACCAAAATTGTCGTGTAAAGAAAGTTATAACAATTTTATCTTTTTTTTTCCTTTGAAAAGGGGGACAATGAGTGGCAAGTCACGGTTATCCACTCGTTTCGGGGGCCGGAAAGACTTACATAAGTATTTTAGCCTTTTCTGGCCATAAGTCTTGTTTCCACATCAACAACAAAACTGAATATTAATCCACATTACGACGAGTCAAGGAGACAAATACTCACGAATTTTAATTTAAAAATCAAAACTCCAATTAGGCTAAATTTAGGGACATCAATTTTCTCAATATATAGACGTGATTGGATTGCTGTATTTACCTGTAAATTTGAACAACTAACGTGAACTTAATTATAATGAGCACTTATTGACACTCTACAATATTAAGTGAAGTGTTTTTCTTTAAAATATGATACTTATGAATGACTTGTGCGTGAAAACAATAAATAAATATATCGAGGAAACTATTTTCCATGTTGGCATTGCAAAATTTCCTCACTTGGAAAGATGTGTTGGAAGTGAATTGGCAAAATTAAATTAACAAACGTATGAATATCGGACTAAAATGATGGACCGACCATGTCAATGGTATTTCTAGATGTGGAGCCCATATACCACTATATACTTGATCTAATAAACTAATAATCTTAAACCACGGTAAGTGGTGCAATGAAATTATGGTAGAATTTCAAGTCAGATTTGCTTTTTAATTTTGAAATTGAGGCAAGAAATTGGTTAAAACGCAAATTATTTTTTAGTTGAAAATTTTGAAAAAACAAATGTCATGTGAGTGTCAAGAGTGAACTGAATGTCTTTAGCATATTTGGGCCCGTTAGAGATTAGTAATTACTAATTAGTCATATCTTAGAGGTGTGGGATACCTCAAACTTCAGAAGAAGAAAAAAAAAAAATTAATAACCTTAGCAGAAAATTGACAAAAATAAAATTAAAAAAAAATCTTAGCCAAAAGACCAAGAACCTATATCGATATAAACATGCACGTTCGTTATCATTTCCATATATATTTCTTAATTTTATCAAATAATTCCAACCAAGCACTTGATGTGTAATGTGGGAATCATTAATCCCAATTTAATCTTTGGTCAAAATGCATAAATGTTATGGTGAGTTTATAGTTATTGTTAATTACTACCAAACCTCCGTCCGTCAACAAAAAGCTAATTTAGGATTAATTTTTATTAATTAATTATTCTTCAATTTATTTAAAGGAAACTAATGAAAATGATTTGAAAATTTTGAGTACAAAATAAAGGGTAAAGCGAATAGTACCATGATTGACTTTTTAGTGTTAAAATATGGTTTTCCGACCAAGCACTTAATGTGTAATGTGGGAATCATTAATCCCAATTTAATCTTTGGTCAAAATGCATAAATGTTATGGTGAGTTTATAGTTATTGTTAATTACTACCAAACCTCCGTCCGTCAACAAAAAGCTAATTTAGGATTAATTTTTATTAATTAATTCTTCTTCAATTTATTTAAAGGAAACTAATGAAAATGATTTGAAATTTTTGAGTACAAAATAAAGGGTAAAACGAATAGTACCATTGACACACCCCGTCCCGAAGGAGGGCATGCTGGGCGTCACGTGAGAGTGACGTAACCATTTGCACAGTACGGAAGCTTTAAGATACAATTTATAAGTTGATACACCCGAAGGTGAGTCCTAATTTTGTCCAATCTGTCAGAACACCGTCGAATTCCTCGTAGTCACCACACCTTTGTGATTCCTGAACCTGGAGGGGCGCAAAACCAAAATTGAGTGGGTCAGTAAAACAATTCTTTTCCAAATCCAAACATTTCTCAAAACGTTGTAACCCCTCTCCGTAAAACCTGTATACTTTCCCAGAAATGTAAAATATAAATATACATATATATTCTCAAAACTTCATTTTTACTATCTCAACATTATCTCTTTATCAATCATGTCATGCCATGTCTAATTCAACAGTTAAGTATGGATGCATCAACAATAATCATATCAGGTGCAAGAAAGTAATCAACCGTAGGCCCTCTAATAGCCCTGTACGGTTGAACCTAGAGCTCAAAATCTATCACTCTCACTCTCTGCCGGAGTCACTCCGCGTGACCTGTACGGCCTTCTGCACACAAGTTACGCTCTAGTGCTTCTCATAAATCAGGCACATAATGTATTTTGTGTTCGATGCGTTGTCACTAAGTGGCAGAGTCGTTACATGGGACTTTGGTGCAACTATTGAGAATTAAGCCGGATCTGATTGGTGAGGAACTAATGTCGACTTTGGATTGGAAAAAGAAGGTCCTAAGAATTAAGACAGAGTAAGTAGTAAAAGCTTTGTGAAGGAAATCATTCAGTAGAAAATTATGTGGGAGAAAGAGAATCGGATGAGAGAGATTTACTCGAAGCTATTGTTGGAGTGTTGATGAATTGGTTGGTTACTGGAATTTCGGGGACGAAATTCTATAAGGAGGGAAGATTGTCACAGCCCGTCCCGGGATTTTTCATTCCGAGGACGTGAAATTTCAAAAATGACCTTAAACGAGATTAAGGTGTGTAAAGAGATGACATTTGTTTTATTTAAAGTTCCTAAACTATGGTTAATTTGTGTTAGGGACTAAAACTAGGTTGTAATGTTGTGTTTGGGTTAAGGTGGGATCCTCATACCTCAAAGCACTCCCTAAAACCCGTAACCTTTCCTTCTCTCTCTTCTTCTTCCATTTCAGATCTCTCTCTCTCACCCTCTCGAACACACGGCAACCACCAAGACCACCACAAAAACACCCTAAACTTCCACCAACGACGGATTTAAGAGTGCCATCGTACTCCTGAAGACCATACGATCACGATGATACCCATTTCAAGTAAGTTTCACTTCGAAAACCCTAGTTTCTAAAGTTGCCGTGAATGTGTACTGTTCATGAGCTTTGAATTGGTTGTGTTTTAGGCCAAACCAAGCTCATAGTGAGCTTTAGGATGTCCCAAGGAAGCTCGGAGTGCTTCGTTGGAAGTTTTTGGACGTAAGAACACGGAGATCGACAAGTTCAAAGTTTGGCCGGAGCTTTCGAGGCGTTTTCCGGCGAATCCCCGGAGAGTTAGGAGTCGAGGTAGGTATCAATCTCTTCGTCTCGTCAAGTACTACAACTTTCCTTTTTGTTTCACTCAATTTCGTTGAGTATTGAAGAAGTTATACTCATTTGAAAAATACCCAGTTTCCGGCGACCTCCGAGGCTTTCGAGGCAGTTTCCGGCCAAACCAAGGCGAACTAGATGTTGTGCAAGGTACCATTCTCTTTTTCTCTTCAAGGGCTAAAACTTTCGTTTTTGAATCACTTGATTTCGTTGAGAAATGACAAAGTTATGGCAATTTGAAAAACTGCCCAGAAAACGGCCGCCGGAAAAACCAGTCCGGCGACCCAAGGAAGAAGAAGGTGCTACAGTAAAAAAAATAAAATTTTTTTTTTTTAAAAATATGTCGACGTCCGTGACGTCGAGTAGATCACCGTGGTATATTCATATACCCAATTTGAACACCGTATGAGGAAGTTATTAAGGATTGTTGGTTAGGTGTTCAAATAACGTTTTATAGTTTTTGCATTTAGGTGAAAATGTGAATTGACGATCCGACCGTTGGATCGTTACCAAACTTTGATACGTTGTAATACGTAATATTTGAGGATTATTGGAACTTACGGATTGGGAATCCGAGTTACGGATCTTCCGGAATTGGAATTGCAAGTCCATAATATAAAATGTTAACCGTCACTTAGTTTTGGAAATTGACGGAGATCCGACCGTTGGATGGTAATGAAATTTTAGGATGTTATCCTAGAGATATATTGTGGACCTCTGGAAGTTATGGATTTAAAATCTGAGTGGCAGATCTTCCGGATCGAACTACGTAGTAACGTATTTTATATAAGTTATATATTCTATCGATATGAATTCTGAGGTTGGATTTGATTACTATTCTAGGCGGCGATCGTCGTGACGCCTTGATGTGTGGTGCTAGGGAGTTGTTGGACGAACTCCAGGTGAGTGGGCAGTTTTGTTTTCCGTATATATATATACTTGACGTTTCCCATAAATTGAATTGAAATGAAAATAAGTTTAAAATGAAATGCATATGAGTTATGTGGAAAAACGGGAAGTGAAATACCATGCATAGAATTGATATGAAAAGTATATAGAAATGTGAGTTGAAATGCCATGCATGAATTAATATATGATGCATATGTATGAATTGGTGCGTCCGCACAGGTAAGAATTGATTTATGATGCATATGTATGAAATGCTGCGGTGGACGCACATGTGAGTATTTATTTCTGTTATGATGATGTTGATGTATATTGAGCTCAAATCCTGCACCATAGTTTAGTGCTTATAGTATTCACCGCATCGCACGCTCGCCTTGGATCCAAGTAGATGCTAGTCGTACAGTCCACGCGGAGTGGGTACGACAGGCCAGTCGCGAGAGTGTTAGTGAGATTCCGACTGGTGGGTGATCTTAGATTATGTGCACAGATGATTTATGAGAAGCACTAGAGCGTAACTTGTGTGCAGAAGGCCGTACAGGTCACGCGGAGTGACTCCGGCAGAGAGTGAGAGTGATAGATTTTGAGCTCTAGGTTCAACCGTACAGGGCTATTAGAGGGCCTACGGTTGATTACTTTCTTGCACCTGATATGATTATTGTTGATGCATCCATACTTAACTGTTGAATTAGACATGGCATGGCATGATTGATAAAGAGATAATGTTGAGATAGTAAAAATGAAGTTTTGAGAATATATATGTATATTTATATTTTACATTTCTGGGAAAGTATACAGGTTTTACGGAGAGGGGTTACAACGTTTTGAGAAATGTTTGGATTTGGAAAAGAATTGTTTTACTGACCCACTCAATTTTGGTTTTGCGCCCCTCCAGGTTCAGGAATCACAAAGGTGTGGTGACTACGAGGAATTCGACGGTGTTCTGACAGATTGGACAAAATTAGGACTCACCTTCGGGTGTATCAACTTATAATTGTATCTTAAAGCTTCCGTACTGTGCAAATGGTTACGTCACTCTCACGTGACGGCCAGCATGCCCTCCTTCGGGACGGGGTGTGTCAACCATGATTGACTTTTTAGTGTTAAAATATGGTTTTCCGACCAAGCACTTAATGTGTAATGTGGGAATCATTAATCCCAATTTAATCTTTGGTCAAAATGCATAAATGTTATGGTGAGTTTATAGTTATTGTTAATTACTACCAAACCTCCGTCCGTCAACAAAAAGCTAATTTAGGATTAATTTTTATTAATTAATTCTTCTTCAATTTATTTAAAGGAAACTAATGAAAATGATTTGAAAATTTTGAGTACAAAATAAAGGGTAAAGCGAATAGTACCATGATTGACTTTTTAGTGTTAAAATATGGTTTTCCGTTAAAGTGAACAGTACTGAGAGCTTTTCGTTAAAGTTAATAAACCGTTACTCAGTACTATGATCTAGTGATATTTTTCTTTACTTGTAAGTGAGAGGTCTTATGTTTGAATCTCGTATATGGCGAATTCAATACCAAATTAGATTGTCAATTGTGTGGCTTATCCAAACTCCTTATTCATTTAGTGTAAAATATATCATTATACTAAATAAATAAATAAACCACCACGGCCCACAGGTGACCCAATGGTTGAGAACTAATTCCATACTCGTATTCCACATGGCACGTCATTGGTTCGATTCTTGTAGCATGTGCATCACATGATGGTGGCCAATGAGGCTGAAATGCCTCTATAAGTCTTCTCGACTCCTAGAAGAGTGGAATACCTTGTCGAAGTCACCAGCTCGTCTCCATTTAAAAAAAATGAAGGTATAAAATAAATTGAACAAAATAAAATCAAGGGCTTATTTATAAAAAAAATAAATAAATAAAAAAAAAGAAGCCCATTTTGGAATCTGCTTTGATATTTTTTGTTTGAACAAAAGGATATTGGAAAGAGTGAGCTAAGCCTCACAATGGATTAGTAATAATATGGTTCAAATTCGATTTTGGCGAGAATCGAATCTAAGACATTTCACTTATAAATGAAGAAAACTACTACTAAACAGTAATATTAAGAGTCGAATCTACTTTGATATTTGATTCCTAGCCAAACTAGGGGTTTTATGGTAAATTTCAAGTGATGGCAAAAAGCACATGCTGCTGCCACAAAACGATAAGAAAATTGTGGATGGCTTCATACAGATGAAAAGAGGCTTGCACAAACATTATGCTGGCTCATATCAAGTATGCCTACATGATAGCTTTTACCCTTGATGTTGTCATGTATAAATTTCATAAGGAAAAACTTTCGTCGTACCATTACGTGACGCTGGTACATTATTTATACGAATATATGTGAGGAAATTTTTAATTCAAACACTTGATAATATATTTTGTGATTAAGAATCTACTACATTGTCATTTGCATATCTAATCACTTAACAAGATCTTATCACATTATCATTTACTTTTTACTGAACTTTTGATGACAAGTGTATCAACAACTACTATACAATTAGATGATGTCAAGTATGGACAACGTGTCAATAGTTAGTAATGTATCGACATGCATGTTGACATAAATTGATTAACAGACCACGTGATCAGACGGTCTAACCGAATCTTCCCACCATACCAAGTCATGTTGCCATGTGGCATGTGTACATGCCAAGGCCATACCCATAATCCTTCAATATGCCATCATCATGCATTCTATTCTTTATTGTATAAGCCCAATGAGTACGTACCAATTGCACATCAAATCTTTGATTCTCTGTCCCCACGTGCTATGCTTGTCGGCCGACCCAAAATGGGAAAAGGATCATTTTCTTGGGGTTCTAGAAATTTCGTGATCGTGATTGTTTATCGTATATTATGCGATGAGTTTTCATTAGATATTATTTATATTTAATTTTAAATTTTAAAATAATTTCTGATTGTACATTGTACGATAAATGATCAAGATCACGAGATGACTAGGATCCACATGAAAATGATACGACGAAGATCCTTTTCCCCAAAATGGGCCGAGGGAAACTTTAAAGCCCATTTCTCAGCCCAATTTCCCAAAATAAAAACGAAGGCAGGTGAATCTAGCGGCGCCGCCCATTTTTGAATCCAACCAATGAGGCACGAAATTGCTAAGCTAGTCGCGAGTGGGTCGTACAGAGAAGCCCTCTGCTTACACGCGCAGCGCCACTCTGCTTCTCTGCGTCCTCACGAATTCACGTTCCCGCCTCTTTTCAAAGCCTGCGGGAAGCTCCGATCAGCTCTGCAGGCACAAGTTCTACATACCCATCTCGTCAAAACCGGGTTTTCGGCCGATGTTTACTCCGCCACTGCTCTGACCGATGCGTATATGAAACTTCGTTTTATGGAAGACGCACTCAAGGTGTTTGAGGAAATGCCTGAACGGAACTTGACTTCGTTGAACGCGGTGATTACCGGGTTTTTGCGAAATGGGTACTGTAGAGAGGCTCTGAGGTTGTTTAAGAACGTGGGGGTTGGAGGGTTCAAGCCCAATTCAGTTACGATAGCTAGTATGATATCGGCATGTGGGAGTGCAGAACAAGGCATGGAAATGCATTGCTTGGCTGTGAAGCTGGGCGTTGACAGCGATGTTTATGTTGGGACGTCGTTTCTGACGATGTATTCGAACTGCGGAAAGTTGGTTTTGGCTGAGAAGGTGTTTGAGGAAATGGCAATAAAGAATGTTGTGAGCTATAATGCTTTTGTTTCAGGGCTCTTGCAGAATGGCGTTCCTCATGTGGCGTTGGATGTGTTTAAGCAAATGAGAGCATGTACAGGTGAAAATCCCAATTCAGTTACGTTGATTTCGGTTGTTTCTACCTGTGCTAGTCTTTCGTATCTCCAATTTGGCAAGCAGGTTCACGCTTTGGTCGTTAAAATTGAGATGGGGCTTGATGTTATGATTGGAACAGCACTTGTGGACATGTATTCCAAGTGTGGTTGTTGGCAGCTGGCTTATGCTATTTTCAAAGAACTAGATGAAAAAAGGAACTTGTTTACATGGAATGCCATGATCGCCGGAATGATGTTGAATGCGCAAACTGAGAATGCCGTTGAGCTATTTGAACAGCTAGAAATTGAAGGATTTGAACCCGATTCAGTTACTTGGAATTCAATGATCAGTGGGTTTTCACAACTAGGGAAGGGGATTGAAGCTTTCAAATATTTTAAGAGAATGCAATCAGCTGGTGCAGTCCCCAGTTTAAAATCTATCACAAGTCTTCTACCAGCGTGTGCAGATTTATCTGCTCTGCAATGTGGAAAAGAAGTTCATGGGCACGCAGTTAGGACCTCTATTAGCAATGATCTGTTCATTTCAACTGCTCTTATTGACATGTACATGAAATGTGGGCAGTCTACTTGCGCAAGAAGAATTTTTGATGGGTTTCGAATAAAACCCAATGATCCAGCATTTTGGAATGCAATCATATCAGGGTATGGAAGAAACGGTGGGAGTGAATCTGCATTCGGAATCTTTGAGCAGATGTTGGAAGAAAAAGTACTACCAAATGCTGCAACTTTCACGAGTCTTCTATCTATGTGCAGTCACACTGGTTTGGTGGACAAGGGATGGCAAGTTTTTAGGATGATGAACAAAGATTTTGGTCTAAAACCAAATCAAGAGCATTTTGGTTGCATGGTTGATCTTCTGGGTCGAACTGGCAGGTTGGATGAAGCCCGAGAACTAATAGAAGAATTACCAGAGCCTTCTGGAGCAGTTTTCGCTTCTTTGCTAGGTGCCTGTGAATGCCATTTGGATTCAGAACTGGGGAAAGAAGTGGCTGTAAAACTTTCAGAATTAGAGCCAGTGGACCCGGTACCTTTCGTGATCCTTTCGAAGATATATGCTGCACTTGGAAGGTGGGAGGATGCAGAAAAGATTAGAGGATTGGTGAATGATAAAACACGAAGAAAGCTCCCTGGCTTTAGTTTATTAAGACTGCATGAATAGTAGATACACGAAACAAACAACCGTAATTCAATGTCTACAGTTTTTTAGTCCCAAGCCAAAATTTTGAGACTATCCCTGCATCTCCATATAAGTTTCCTCAAACAGACATCTCACTGATTCAATATCTCCTTCACCGCAAACCCCATGTAGTTATCAAAGTGGTTTGGTGGTTCATAAATGAAGCTAGAGATCACATCTCTGAGTGTAATGACACCAACAACCTCGCCTTCCTCCCCAGCTACTACATGGATCCTATGAATGGACTTGGAAGCAAAACTTTCAACAGATTACCAAGAGTTGATTCCAGTTTGCATGTAATCGGTCGCATGACTTTTCCAATTTCACTGGTCGTCGTGGTGGTGCTCATGAAGTCCCTAACAGTGAGCTTCCTGAAAGAAAATGTCACACAAATTAAGCACCCCATCAAGAATGATTTGCGTCTGTCAAGTGATCAAAGCAAGCACCGGTTTTTTTCTTTGACAGAAATCAGTGTAAGAAGATTAGTTCAAATTCACAACTGGATGAGTTCAGTTTCATAAGAAGGTATTTTAGATCCTTCCTACAATCTGTGTGAAGTAAATGGTGGGGTATCCGATGGTGAATGTTCAACCCTGGAGTTGAGAAGATTAAAGCACTCTACAGTCCATCGTGAGGACCAAGAGCACAATGTAATTTCTACAGAGATTGTGCGGGGTAAAAGGTTCAAAGTTTGAGTAGCAAGTATCTAATATCTCTGATGCTTACATTACCGACTATGTTTTTCTTGGGCCCCTCTACAACAGGAAGACCACCAATTTTGTTATCTCTTGTCCTCTTGAAAGCTTCAAGTATTAGATCATTGCTCGTGATGCTAATAACCTGGCCAAGAAACAAAGGAACAATGATATTGAGACTCCAAAATCACTAGCCATTAAAAATATTGTTTTGGTAACCAGGCAACCTTACCTCATCAGAGGACATGAAAGGAAGTCCAAAATTGGAGATAGGCTTTGCCGCAATGCAGTCAAACCAGTCCCTTCCTCTGCATCTCTCAAGACCCTGAACAAGTCCTGACTGAGTAATGTAGTTCTTAAGGGTGGGTTGGCCTGGTTCTATTACAGGTACATTCCTCAGCCTATATTTTGAAAGTAGTAGCATAACGGTCAACATTGAACTATCTGTTGCAACTGGAATGAAAGGCGCCCAGCGGAAGGATTTAAGTATTGACCTCACCTGAAACATACACGCACATATCACATTCGAGTAATTCAGTCAGATAACTCAAAGGCAACCAATACTACTACACAGGATGTTCTTCGTAGAGATTGCTTACTATGGTTGACTTGAAAGGGTTCATCTTTCAGTATAACGTTGTAAAAGTCTTGGCCTAATTCATCAGCAGCTGTGGGAGCATCTTTGGCTATTCCTTTCTCTGCAGCCGCGCCACCAGCCATTGCAGCTCCAACAGCAGCAGCAGTTAGCCCTGCAACTGCGCAGGACCGGTCACACCCAATGCTAGAGCCCCAACGCCCCCCTCCCCCCCCCCGGGGCCCCGCACCGATTCCAGCAGCGGTTGCTGAAGTAGCTGATATAGCAACTGCAGCTAGCTCTGCACTCTCCAACACCCAAAGAATAGTGGCAGAGTAATCTATGAGTCCTAGGTACCTGTCTCTCCAATCAGAACTTGCGCCTGCTTCTGGGGTTTTCACAGGAGCTGACAAAATGTTGTTTTCGGACAGAATCTTAACCGCGTCGCCGACGGACGTGTCTGCCGGAATCTCAATTACTGCAAATCAAAATGTAAGAAGGCACTGTTTTTGGCTAACCATTTATCTCATTCAATTCATAACAAAACCATAAACACTGATATCGTGGATTAAACAGTAATGTGCGTCACCTTTGCCTCCAGGTACAGCCGGGAAAGATGAAACCGGAATTTTCGCAAATGCATTTGTTAAAACCCCCTGCTGGGCACGAGGTAATTTCTTCCTGGATTGGATGGTTTCGAAGTAGGCATCGTAGCTTGAAAGTTTGCATCTTTCTTTCACCTCCTGTGCTTCTGCCATATTTACGCTGGAGACAGAAATCGAAATCTTAATTCGATGTCTTCACACGAAGTCTTAGATTCAAAATACGAGGATTCTGATAATCTAGTTCGAAATTAACCAGGATTAATTTGTTTTGTACAAGATTTGTTTCCCAGTGGATTTAGAAACTGCTGTTGGGCTCTCTTCTTTGGAAACTTTGAGGATTCTCTCTTCCGAGAAAAAGTAACCTCTGCATGCATGAACTATATATTTGACACGTGTCATCACCCGAAATGTTTTCTCGTTGCATTAAGAAATTATTAGGTAGTACTGTGCTGCCACGTCATCTGTGGTACTTCCATTTAAAATTTGACATAGTGTACTATTTTATCACGGTTGGACTTATAATTTATCTAAGACTAACTCTTAAGAGAGTTTAGGGTTGATCCAATATCATGAACACATGAACTTCTCTCGCCGATTCTTCATAAACTACGTAAAGCCAGTAAATTCACCCAATTAAGTGTTTTCCTAACCCACTGAAAGATATTTACAAATTTGTAAGAGACGTCGTTTTACTAACATCGCTGCCACCAAAGGTACTCAGAAATTGCGGAAATGACAACACCAAGATAATTATTGGATTGGGATTTCAAATTCGTTGTTATATTCATTGGGTTTTCAAATTAGTACACCAATATGATTAATCCACAAAACACTTCAGTAGGTTTTTAATAGGGAACTCTAACGGAAAACCACATTTTTACACTAAAAAGTCAATCATAGTACTATTCATTTTACCCTTCATTTTGTCATTATCGTTAAAACTCAAAGTTTTTAAGCATTTTTCATTAGTTTTCCTTTTTTCAACATGATTAATCCACACCACAGCCATGGCATGGAGGCAAAGGATTGGGAAGGAGACTTGTCAAGGATGGAGGGTGGGATTGCTAGTTTTTTTTTTTGCTTTTTTTCTTTCAAGTATTTAATTTATTTTAAAGGGTAAATCTCAGTTTATTACCCTCAAGTTTCGTGGATTTCAATATTTGGTACATGAAGTTTTTTTCGTCTCAGAATCATACCTAAAGTGTTAATTTTGAGACAGTCTCATACATCTGTTAGTCTAGCTGTTAAATTTTCCATTAACTGATGACGTGGCACCCGTGTGGACAATGATTGGATGCCACATGGAAATAAAAATAAAAAACCCACCCGTCTTCTACCTCCCCCAACCCCTTCCTTCCCTTCTTTCATGGAAATAAAAATAAAAAACCCACCCGTCTTCTACCTCCCCCAACCCCCTCCCTCCCTTATTTCCTCTACAACCCATAGCCTCCATTCTCTCTGCTTCGAGGTCATCTCCCGCCACTTCGACCTTATCGCCCAACTCTCTTCCCTCCACCACGCCGATCACGCCTTCTCCACCATCCGATCCTCCATTGCCGCCCTTCAGTCCTTAGTTCACCACACCCGATCCGAGCTCTCTGACCCCCTCACCTCTATCCGCACCCTTACCATCCAGCTCCAAAATCTCCATGCCTTCTCCAATCTTCTCCACCACTCCATCAGAGCCCTCCACCTCTCCAGTAAGCTCCGATCCCTCACCTTTAACGACCCCAAGCGCCTCAATCTCACCAAGGCCGCTCAGCTCCATTGCGAGATCTTAGCTCTCTACAACAAATACGACATCGCCGGCATTGATGTGGTCGATTTCGAACTCGAGTGGGTCAAAGATGTTGGAATTTATTAGGTTTATTCAGGAAATTAATTAGAGATTTGATTTGATTTTGTAGTAGGTTATTTTTGGTATTTACGCATTATGGTTTCTTAGGTTTATTGCTCTATAAATAGAGCTTGTAATTTAGTTTGAGAATCAAGTTATTCACAATGTAGTCTCTTAGGGGGCGTTTGTTTGCCCTCACTAAGTGGGACTGGACTAGACTGGACTAGCTGTTAGTCCAATACTGTGTTTGTTCCATGCTGGTACTAACATTAATGAGACTAAAGGGGACTAGTATGGACAAAACCCTTCACTAAGAGGTCTTAGCGAGACCCCCCAATAACCATGGGACTAGCTAAGACTATCTTCTCTCATCCTCGTCATGCTCAACAACCACTCCCGATAGACTCCCCGTCATTTCCGGTCACCTAGATCATAATAAAATATTAATAATTTATATATTAAATAATATAATATTAGAATTTGTTATTATCCAGCTTCTTAGTCCAACACTGCACCAAACGCTTCACTAAGTTAGTCCAGCTTAGTCTAGTTTAAGCCAGTCCAGCTTAGTCCTTGAAGCTAGTCCAGTCCGAGATAGTCCGGCGCAACAAACGCCCCCTTAGGGTTTTATAGCCGTTTCGGCATTCTCGGTTAGTTTAATAATGTTCTTATTATTTTGTTAGTCTTATTCGTTTCGCACTCTGATGTTCAACTTGGTATCAGAGCAGGTTTGATCCTCCGGAGTTAAATATGTTCTTGGTAGCTAATTTGTTTGTCTTGTCATCTTCTTCGTTGTGATTTGTTTTTCGTTGTGCCCTAGGTTAGGGTTTTGCAGTTTGAAAAAAAAAAGAAAAAAAAAAACTGAAGCTTTGTTGCATTGAACCACCAGAGCCACGCCACACCGGGATCCGGCCCATCTACCTGGCCTACCACCTCGTCTTGCCATTCAATGTTCTTGTTCCTGCCATCCACCATCGTTCTTGTTCCTGCCATCCACCACACCACCGCTACATCTGTCTCGCACCGCTGCCACCCGCAATATGAGGAATCTTTGCGTCTAACAGAGGTTGCTTTGTCGTGTCTGCCTAACGGAACTTGCATCCACATCTGCTTGTTGGCAACCTCATGACATATACCGTCATGAGTTTGACGGGGGTGTTAGAATTTATTAAGTTTATTTAGGAAATTAATTAGAGATTTGATTTGATTTTGTAGTAGGGTATTTTTGGCATTTACGCATTAGGGTTTCTTAGGTTTATTACTCTATAAATAGAGCTTGTAATTTAGTTTGAGAATCAAGTTATTTACAATGTAGTATCTTAGAGTTTTGTAGCCGTTTCAGCATTGTTAGTTTAATAATATTCTTATTATTTTGTTAATCTTGTTTGTTCAACTAAAGAGACCGGAGACAAGTTGCGTGTGGAGGCAATGAAGGTATTGGAGAGAGGGATGAAGGTTTGAACCAAGCCGAGGTGGGGACTGGGCTGCAGGTGTATTACAATTTGGGGAAGCTGAGACAAGCTATAGATCAACTGATTAACAAGTATAAGGGTATGAGGATGAAGAGTGTGAGTGCAGCATTGGATATGAAAGCAATTTCAGGGTTGGGAGGAAGCAGGTTTAGGTCGGGTGGGATTAAAGGAGGCGGGGGCACGCCGCAGATTGGCGATGGTGGAAAGGCGAGGGAGGCGATTTGGCAGAGGATGGGGAGTTGTATGGATCAGCTGCATTCGGTAATGGTTGCGGTGTGGCACTTGCAGAGGGTGTTGTCGAAGAAGCGCGACCCGTTTGCTCATGTTTCTTTGCTTGATGAGGTTATTCAGGTGAGAGGATTTGTCCAATTGTGGCAGACGAAGACCAACCTAATTAGTTTGACCTGGTAGCCATAGTAACGGCGGCCCGACGAAGATCAGCCCAAGAAAATAGAGCCAGGCCCGTCTCAGTCCCCGACACCCAATTCCTCTAAATTATAAGGAAAACTAATGAAAATGGCTTGAAAACTTTGAGTTTTAATAATAAAGACAAAATAAAGGGTAAAGTGAATAGTACAAAGATTGAATTTTTAGTGTAAAAATGTGATTTTTCGTTAAAGTGAACAATACCGAAAACTTTTCGTTAAAATTCCCTAAATTATAATCTTCTTCATCATTGGCTTCCTTCCACCTGCAATTCCAAAACCTTCAAACTTCTTCGTTTCTGATCAACCATGGTAACTCCATCTCCGCCTTTAACCATTTGCACAGTCCTCAACGAATCTAAGCGCATGGTCAACGCCCACTCCTGCCACTTCCTAGCCCTTTCAGTCATCTTCCTCCTCCCTCTCACCTTTTCCTCCACCCTTTACCCCACAATCCAGAACCTCCTTGCCGATCGAGTCCCAGACAACTCCAATAAATTCCTCGAAATCTCATCTTTCGACCCCCATTAGCTCCAACCTATCATCCCCGCCAAAACCCTTCTCATCGCCTTTGCTTTCTCCCTCTTCGCCGTCGTCTTCTCTCTCTGCGCCCTCGGGTCGATCACTTAATGAGCATACAAGTTGGAAAAAGGTGGGTGGTTTTTTTTTTTTGAATTTTTTGAAATTTTAATTTCTACGAGAACTCTTAATGACATGTGACGCTTAATCATTATCCACATAGGCGGTACGTCATCAGTTAACAAGAAACTTAACAGTCAGACTAACGGAACAGACGGAACAGATGTATAAGACTGTTCCAAAACTAACAAGTATGACTTTGAAACGAAAAAAATTTCATATACTAAATGTTGAAAATCATGAAAATTAAAAATGATAAACTGAAATTTACCATATTTTAAATTTTCTAGAATAAATTATGTCCGATAAAATAATACAAATGTTAAATTTTAAATTTTAAATGGGAGTACCACAAATAATGTGGAAGTACAGTACTACTTAATAATTTCTCCGTGCATTTATGACTCGCCACTTCTCATGGCATGAGTTGGTAAGCCTTCAATTAGGCCTGGCCCTGGATATACAAAAAAGACTTTCTTGGATGCTCCAAAGTATTTCAACCGTTTTGTTTAAAAGTATAACGATCAGAATTTAACGGTTAAATCCGATACTTTGGAGTATTAAAAAAATGGTAATTTTGTATAAAATCAATAACAAGTTACAATATTGACAATAGATTAACAATATTTATGTTAATTATAAGTAGGTCAATTATGTATTATGATACTTAAATACATTTAAAATAAATAATAATTACAAAATCTGTCACTACAACTGTCACCCACTTGAATTGACACATTGTTTCTCATATTTTTATATTTTGGAATAGGTCAATACAAATTTAGTTTCCTGATTCTGTTTTTCACATTTGGATTCAGACGCTGCGTTGTATGTCCATTTCCTAGTTCTTTTTTTGCCATCACTCATCGTGCGACTCTTGATTTTTACATTTGGATTCAGTCACTACAATGCAGTGTTCGTTTCTTGGTTCAGTTTTTATATTT